GGCTAGAGATGTGATTTCAGCCCTGAGGGCACAGACTGTGGGGTGGGGGAGGGACAGTCAAGTCTGCAAGTCCCAAGGGAGTGTTAACAAGCCTGTAACAGAAGAAGTACCGCACTAAGCGGGTTGGCCACAGGGCCCAGGCCTGCCAGAGAGGACACCCAGAAGAAAGGCAAGAGATGAGCTGGGAAGGTAAGCAAGGGCAGTTGAGGGGAGAGGGGGGCCTGTACCCGTAGGTTCAGGCCTCCTCTGTGGGTCAGATCTGACTGCATGAAAACCACAAATCAAATTGCTGTTGTACTTGGGTTTCAATGTCCCTGTCCAGCTGGGGGCCTGATCAGAGAATGTGGCAGTGGTGGGATGAGAAGTAGCTTGATTCAGTGAGATTCAAGAACCAGAATATGAGGGCTTTGGTGGTAAGTTCTGGATTTGGGTGGGAAGAGGTAGGACTTAAGTTGCCTCCCACAGGTGCTGCTCTAGTGACCAGGGAGAGGGAGGAAACAGAGCCCATTTTACAGGATATAAGATGGAAATTTTGAGTGGGAGAGTTTGAGTTAATGGTGCCTGTGAGTCACCCTGGAGGGAATGCCCAGCCGGTAAGCAGTCAAGTTAACATACCTGCAGCAGAGGGCAGGACCTGGCTAGTGCTGGGGAGCCTGGGCCCATCAGCCCCAGGGGGCCAAAGGAAGCCAAAGGAGTGGGTGAAGCTGTCTAAAAGGTACCCAGTGTGTCCTGGAATGAGCCCTAAAGGAGCACTATGGAGAAGGATGCTGATGAGGCCAGGCCACAAGGAGAAGAGAACAGGCCATTCTGGTATCTTGGAAGCCAAGGCTCACCAAGCAGCACAGGACATCCATGCTCCAGCTGCTGCTGACGGCCCACACATTCAACCACCAGGACTAGACAGTGCCCTTGTGTGAATGAGAAGAAGGTGCCCCTTCCTCAAGGTAATTTACTTCCATCAGAAAACTACTATTAACACACTGATTTTATTAGAACAAAACACTTTACTGCCATCTGTGGGAAAATTGTTATAATAAATAACAAATGCATCATGTCTTAGATGTGCTGCCTGTGCGTGGCAGTTGTGTTTAGTGGTGACAGCAGTGAAAACAGGTTTCAGAGGAGTAGAATGAAGGATGCTTTGCGCTATGGGTAACACAGGACCCCCTAAAAGATGACTTAAACAATAAGGAATTTGTGATCCCACACCTCTCATCTGCAGGTAGAGATTTTCCAGGGTTTGTTCTTTCCCAGTAGCTTCATCAAGAACCAATTCCTTCCCAACGATCCTCTAGGTGTTGACTTTCTTCCTCAGCTCATCCCTTCATGATCACAAGAAGGCAGCCACAGCTCCAGCCATTAAATTTTTCCATAACAAGATTAAGAGGCAGAAGATAAGGGTGCATCTCCTTGTGTGTCCCTTTTTTTATTGGTGAGAAGACCTTCCTAGAAGTGCCCAGCCCCTCTCATAATCACCACCATTTCCTTCTCCTCACCTCTCATTGACCATTGCTGACTCACATGTCTCTTCCTAAACCAGTCACTGTCAATGTGATATATTCATTGTGATTAGTTTGATTACAGTGGGTGGAGGAGTGAGGGTGAAGTTAAGACATGGAGAAAGAAAGTTTAAATGATGCTTTCTACAACCTTGGGAAGGGAAGAAAGAGACACTAATTATAGGGAGACATGAAGGCAGGAAGGATATTTTGACCGTGCCCTAAACATACTTGAACCTACTTGTCAAAGACTGACTGGATGAATGGCACCACCATGGGACCACTCATAAAACCAGATGACTGGGAGCCACTTAGAATTTATCTCCCATCCATCTTCACGGCCCCCTCCCAGAGGCCTAGACAGTTAACCCAGTTAGTCTTACCAAGTCTAACTGCTTAATACTTCTGGAAGCCACTCTCTTTGCCAAAGCCCCTCCACGGTTACACTGTGGGCATTTTGGACTGGATAATTCTTTATTAGGAGCCAGGAGGCTACTATTGTATACTTTGTAGGATGTTTCACAGCTGCTGAATGCCAGGAGTACCCTCCACCTCGCCTTATCAGTTGTAACAATCAAAAATGTCTCCAGACATTGCCGAACATGCCCTCAAGGACATAATTGCCCCTGGTTGAAAACAATGGAAACTACTATAGATCTTTGAACTAATTTCTGGTCATGGCCCATCTTTGCATATTCTGCTCCCTGCTCTTTGCCATCCCCTGATATTGAACCTATAAATCCTGCTTATCTGTCTGTGTATTATAATTGCCTATCTACTTGTCTGCCTATTCTACCCACCCACACATAATCCAAGGGTGGGAACCATGTTTATCTTACTCAGCCTTGTATGTCTAGAGCCTACCACCCTGCCTGGTACACAGATAGCACCCCCTTTACCCTGCCTTTCAGATGTTCCCCAGCTGACTCTTGGATTAATGAAACACTGCTCTAGGATGACCCTCTCCAACTGGCCACATGGAATCCCAAGCAATTGTTCTTCACCCTATGTGACCACAGACCCTTCTGAGAACTGGGAAAGATCACTAGACCCTCACCTTATCAAAGGCAGTTTGCCATAATGTTTATATACCTGAAGCCCGCCTACATGTCCCCAGGGAACTCCATCTGTCTCTCAAGATGAGAACTAAGTTAGAAGGTTTTTTCCAAAAAACATATTCTAATCAAGGTCAGCCAAGGTTTGAGCCCTTCTGGGCTTCTTCAAAGCCCCCAGAATGAAGTTCAAACTTCTCAGCTGCATACACAAGGCTCTTTCACACCTGGCCTTGCCCTTCCAGCCCTCCTCCCTCTCACCTGTTGGGCTGCTTTCCTCTGGGCTAACTCTCTCTCAGCCATTCTCTAGACCAGCCACACTCTCTTACACCTCCATTACTCAGCCTTCATCTCTGCCTCTGAGAACACCTGTCCCCTCTGTGTCAATGGGCCAGTCCAGTGCTTAGCTCAAATAATATTCCTGCTTGTGTCTCCTGCCTCTCCCTATCCCAGGGAAGTTGGTGCTCCTTCTCTGACGCTCTCCTGCCATTCTGGGAGCTCTGGAAGCCCAAGAATCACATGTAACTCACGCTGCATCCTCAGAACCCACCATAGGACTGCCACATGGAATATCTCAAGGCACATTTGTAGGACATGGTGACCCCTTGCCATCCATTCAGCATTACCCTCTGAGTTTTCCTTGGTAGCCTATGTGGTCCCAGGGAACAGCTGCAAGCCCAGCAGTACGAATGGAACCAGCTTTAGACAGAAGCCAGCCCTGAGAACACACACTCTCAGGACCCAGTAGAGGAGCTGGATTTAGCCCTGCCTACAGCCAGTTTCATTCCCATAAAGCCATAAAATTCCCTCAATTAGCTTGAGTTGGGTTTTCTATTACCTGTAATCCAGAGCATCAAGGATAAGGGAATAAATGAAAATATGAGCACAATGACTCCCCCAAAAAACTTTCTTAACCCAACTGATAGTTGTATGGTATGTGTTTGCTCCCCCTTGCCTTTCTGTGCTTGGAAGAAAAAGTGGGCCTTCTATCCAAAGCTAACAACCTCCTTTTCTTCTCCAGAAACTGGTTCCATCAATTAGCTTATATTCTCTCTTGTGTCTTTGATCTTTTCCTATCCAGTGGCTTCCTCTTCCCTACCTTCAAATAATCTCAGGCCTCCCCTATCTTATAAAGCTTTCTTGGCACCTCCTGAAGTGGCAGCCCCACCCCCACTTTCTTCCTCCCCCTCCAGCCCTCTCTAGAGGCTGAGCCTTCCACACAGGCACACTCAGCAGGGGCCATGATGACACAGTTACAGATGACCTTCCCTTACAGATATGCTGTGACCCTGGTCCCTGCTGTGTGTTCTATGTGAGGTGTGGCCCCCAGCTCCAAGGTTCAGGTATCAGGGTGTCAGGACTGGCCACCAAGTTTCTCAGGGCTCATGGTCACCTCCAGCCAGAAGATCTCCTGGAGTAAGAATTGCCCTGTTTTCAAGAGGCAGCTCCCTCAGCCAGGAAGTAACTGTGGGGACAGCATCAGACACTAATCCTGTTTCAACCACCCCTAGTCCTTCCAGCCAGGTGGGGACGTGGCAGTGTCTCAGACTGGGTCTAAGGGTGCAGTGAAGAGCCAAGAGGGGCTGGAAGGATCTCCAGGGCCTTGGGGCCCGGGCCAGGAAGCAGCTCACAGTGGGAAAGTGGAGACGCCTCCTGGTCTCCTATTTCCCGAGCACAGTGCCTGAGAGGAGGCTGCCAGCACTGTGCTCACAAGTTCCAGCCCCTCGGGTAAGAGAGGCAAAGGACTCTCTCTTGGAAATGTGATGTGTTTAAGCTCTTAGCTTTTTCTCCAAGTATGTTCCTTTTTCTCCTGTAGATTAAGCCTGATTCCTGCAGGAAATGTCAGACCAATGACTAAGGCTAAGCCTCAGACCACAAGAAAAAGGTGTCTTTGCCCAGAGCAGATTTTTAAATCACAGTGAGGGAATAGAGGGAGAGAATCCTAAGAAATCCCAAGAGTGTGGGGGACAAGATCAAAGCCAGAGGTCCAGTGGTTCCTTTGCCTGGAGATCTTCTGGGCCAACACTTCCCCTGGTGTGGTGTTCCCTTTTTATTAAGTGGAACCTTTCCCCCAAGATAGTCAAAGGAACCAGAAGATACAGGTAACTTCCCACCTATGAAGCAAAAGGCAGCCCAGGAAAGGGAGGGGAAATGCCCAAGTGAGGAGTGGGCAGGAGCAGAGACAAGTCTGGGACAGGAGAGGAGGCATCGGATGCTGGGTTGTTAGGCAGGCCAGACACCAAGCCTGAAAGCTTACCCCACTCCCCCACCAGTCTCGTAAAAGCATAAACAATTCCGTGGTGTCGCACACACTGCTTCTGGGCTGCTTCTACCTGAAAGGCTGAGCTAGAAATGGCCCACAACCCCCATACCCTGAACGACCCCCCAATCCCCCCCCATGAAGCCACACCCCCTCAGGTACTGCAGAAATGCACACACTCACGCCACGTTGTGGTACAAACTGTTTTATACCGAAATACATTCAAGCAGATCCAAAAAGGGGTTGGGACAGAAATGGTAAAAGTAGGGTGATCCCAGGGTCATCGTTGGCAACTCTTGGAGCACGCATGAATCTGTCTGTCTGCCCACCCTGACTGGACAGTCAGGCCGTGGAGGTCTGCAGGAGCTCAGCTGAGCTGGGCGGAGGAGGTAGGCCAATCCTGGCCGGGAGGACATCCTATGTCCCCTCCACCAGGGTAGGAGAATCCTTAGCTGAAGGGCTTCACCAGCTTCATGGCAGCATAGTTCTAGAGGGAGGGAGGGAGCAGACAGGAACACTTGTGACCCATCAGGGCAGGCAAAGTTGGAGTGGAGTATGGGGCTGAGCTGCCAGGAGGCAGGGGCTAGGAAAAGAGACCCATCACTCTTCAACCTGCCTGCACTGTGCCCTCACCAGCCACTACCCTACAGGCAGCTCAGCCTTCCACCCTACCTAGTACTCTTGCCAATCAGGCAAGCTGAGCCCTCTACTCGCAACCTCCCACCTGGAGACAAGGCCCCCAATCACAAGGTCCCCAATCACTCTGCCTTCTCCTCCATCAATCTGAACACATTCCCATGTTCCAACTGACTGCCAAGAAGACTCTGACCCCCAGGCCTTGACCTCTCCCATTAGACAGGCACTGAAGGCAGGGCCACAATTCTCCCTACTCCATAGGAACCCAGGGCTCCCGGATCACCACATCCCTGTCCAGAAAGTAGAGAATTGGGGATGGGCTGCACAGGATGGCCCATGATGCAGACCAGCACAGAGATGGGTCACCCTTGATTAAGCCCTGCCTGGGCAGAACTGACAGGAACCCCACACACACACACCTCTCCTCCGCAAAACCATAAAAACACACACAACACAACACAGGGCTCCTAATTGGGACAGTATGTTCCCTGGTGCCGGCTTGGGAAAGCCAACTCGGGAAAGAAAGCCGGCCCTCCTTCCCCGCCAAATCGCCTCCTGCCGCCCCACACTGGCCCTGCTCCCAGCTGGCTTTGAGGGGGGAACCAGCAGAAATCAGACAGGCCGCCCTCCTGCCCCCCTCTTAGGGGGATTTCAAAAAGGGTGGGGGATTAGGCCAACTGGAGGGGAGCAGCCCAGCCGTGGGCCCCTCTTCACTAGGCCCTAGCTTTGGGAGATGCAACTGGCCTTCTGCCCCACAGCCTGAAAGCCAGGTGAGGGTCATGGGGCTTGGCCCTGGTCAAGGGGCTTGGCCCTGATTGGTCTGGTACCAGTCAGGTGATTGAGTGACATGAGAGAAGGAGGCAGGATTTGCCTAACTGGCAGCAAAGGCCCACAAGCAAAATCAATACACAGCTTCAGAGCCAGGCTGCCCACTTCATCCCTGGATCCCTGCCTAGCATCCGACGCCCACACACTAACTCCAAGAGTGGGGAGAGGAGAGATAAGGCCAAAGTTTAAAGAGGACCATCTCCAGGAGAACTCAAAGGACAGTGAAATCACTGCTGGAGCCCAGACGACAGGGTAGGTCTCTGACCAGTGGCCCCCCCAAATGCTACTCTGCTGGTCCCCACAGGGCCTGGGGCTGAGGCTGCCCCAGGAATGAGGAAGGGCCACAGGCTGGAGGTAACTGGAAATCTTCCCTTATTCCCCTAGTCAGGCCCCTAGAGATCACGCAGGGCAGGTGCAGGTGGCTGGGGCTGGGGGCAGCCACAGAAAGGGCAGTGGTGATACCACTGGGGACCTGCTCTTCAAGAGGAAGCTGGCGTGATGTGCGACCCCCCCAGGAAAGGCAAACATGTTCCCCTAACAACAGTCACAGCCACCGAAGGCCAGAGCCCGCCCTGCACATCCCCCTCCATGCGAACAGGAAGGCACCTGACAAGGTCACATAGAAAGTCACAGGTGGAGCCGACACTCCTGACTACAGCTGCAGAGCTCTATCTGCACAACTGTGGCTCTGCAAGTGTCACGTGCTCACATGCCAGCTCTCCTTCACCAGGCCCAGGCCAGCCCAAGACTGCATTTCTAGCAAGCCCCCTGGTGATGAGATGCTGCTGGCCCTTAGACCGTACCTTGAGGAACAAGGTCTGCATGGACTCTCCTCTCAGAAACTTTCTAAGCCTCATAATGGAGCAGTTGATCATACGGGTGGTTTTCCTTATTCTCTGGTTTCAATGTCTCCCTGGGGGACTGAGAACTCCCCAATGGCATGAGCCACATCATCATCCCTTCCTGCCCATAGCTCACACTTATCTCCCAGACACACATGCACGCTTAATACAGTCTCCCTGCTAACTAAATGGTGGCCAGCCTCACCCCAGAGAGGAGAGTGGTGTCCGAGGCAGGCCAGGAGAAGGGAAGAACTACAAGGCAGAAGTCCTGGGGTCTGATCCCAGGCCTCAGGCCACCACAGGTGACAGCTTATGCCCCAGCATACCACACTTGCCCCCACCCTTCCATGGCCCTGTATCTAACCTTGTAATCTTCCTTTGTTTAAAGAGGCCCCTCCAAATCGTACACATTTCAGATCTCCACAGCCTGAATCTACCCCTAGACTGCAGTCATATTTTGCCCATTGACCGCAGCTCTTCTTGCTGAGCCTCAGAAATGTCGGCGCAGAGCCTCAGGTGGCTGTAGCCAGTGTAGAAAGCCTGGCCTATTGCCAGATGGAACCTGGACGTCCAAACCAGATAGACCTTTCTGCTGCTTCCCATGGCCTGTGCTGTTAGGAACTGCATGGATGATTTGCAGTTTTAACACCCTTCCTCCTCTGAGGCACATTCTGCTGACACGAGGCATCACTAGCTGCAGTAGGAGAAGGGAGATCATCCGGAAGATTCTTAGATCGAACTGCTCACCTAGGAGTAGTTCCCTGAGCAACCTGTCCGCTGGGGGACAATGCTCTAGGTTGGTGGCCTGGTGCTGTCCAGGACTGAGGCCCCCAGTGGGAAGCTTAGTGAGCTCTGGACTGGGACCTGCACAGATTGCTGTGCAGCTAGAGCCAGTCCCTTTCCCTCTCTGGTCTTATGTCTTTGCTATTAAAGTCAGGGTAACAGGGGCTAATTACACCACTCTCCATTTGCATATTGGTTTGAAATTTTCATATTAAAAAGGTTTTAAGTTTTTTTAAAGAACATTAGAAATCAGGTATCAGTCTGACAGCACTGTGATCTTTTCAAGGTCTGAAGTACAGAGACTCCGGGAGCTGAAGCTTCTTTGGAGTTCCGTGATGAGTTATGAGAGCTAGGGAGGCACAGGCAGGGACCCCCAGAGCAGGGAGCACAGCTGCTATCTCTGATTCGGCCCTGGCAAGCTCTTTGCCTTGCATCAGCCACCCTCCCAAGTAACAGGGAACCTGAACATGCAGGAGCCAGGCTTCTGGCCAGCGGCACGCTTGCCCCATATTTCCCCCATGCCTACCCTGCTGCAGAAGGCAGGGAACACTCTATCAAGATCTTCAGGTGCATATTAAGACCATCTCTCAGCCCCAGCTCCTCCCTTCTCCTGGACTTAGCAAGTGCTACACTCAGGACAAAGGAGCCTTCTCCTCTACTCTGCCATCCACACCTTCCCTCCCCTTCCAGGCCTAGTTCCATATCTCCTTCAAGAAAGTTCCCTGCCCAGCCCAGCCAAAGGGGCCTCATCTTCTGCTAATCCCCTAATTAAATATTCCAGGGCCTTGCTGAAGACAGCTCTGTCTCCAAGGGCCAGACTCGGTTTCCTTCATTGGACGTGGAGCTTCCCAGGGGTAGGACTCCCCAAAGTAGGGGCTTCGTGTATCTCCATCAGACCAGGGACTCCCCAAGGACAGAGGCTACCTCCCCTCATTACACTGGGAGAGTCCTCTGAGGACAAGGATGGACTCCCCTATTAGACCAAGAGCTGCCCAGAACAGCGTCTGTGCCTCCCCCTCAGGCCTGCTCACCGGGAAGGCATAGACAAAGATGCCCAGGAACAGCAGTAGGATGAAGAGAATGATGAAGAGGATGATGGCACACCGGAAACGCCGCCACAGGATGAACTTCATAGTCTTGTATGGGGAGGTGAACCACAGGAAGGAGGTGTCAGGGCGCCTGGAAGCGAGATCCCAGAGGTCAGAGGTCAGCAAAGCACCCTCTACAAGGGGCACTTTCTCCAAACCCTGCTCTCAACTTGTGTCAGCGGATTGGATATCCCTGGCCCTCCACAGTCTGCCCCCAAACCTGCCCAGCTTCGAGGCCCTAAGCCCTGCCCCTCCACTTAGCCCTTCATGTCTGCACTCCCCTCCCCTGAGCCTCTGCCATTGCTGCCACCTGTGCTGCCTTCCTCTTCTGGATACTGCCAAGCCCTTTGCACCTGCAGAGGCCCAGTTCTCTGCCATCTTCTCCAGGATACCTTTCCTGTCCCCCTCTCCCCTTCCTGACCCAGGACTTAATCAGACTACAAATTTGGCAGCTGGGCAGAGCCTCAAAGGCCTGCCACATGGGGTGGGCTATGGCTCACTGAGCCCTGGACACGCCAAGTCACCTGCACAGATGCACATGATTAGTCCATGTGCAAGGAAGGATTGGAGGGAAGAAAACCTAGATAGCTGATTTTTCTCTCACAACCAAGAACCATAATACCTTCCCCTAGGTCAGCCCCATAATTTGAAAAATGCAGGATTTTGTGTCTTATTCATGGCCTGGTTAATATCTGATTGCTTGTCCTATGTCCTGGTCTTTCTTGTCTCTCCTTCCCAGCATCCTGGGGCACAGGTACCTCTCATCACTGCCAGCCCCAGGGCACTCAGGACAGCACTACAATTAAGTGAGCCTTCCATGCTGAGTCCAGCTGGAGCCATGCAGGCTGGAAGGCAGGTATCCTACAAACACGGCCCTGCACCCCAACAGCCATCTTCAGCAACTGCCCCTGCAACTGCCTTCCAAGTATTTTGATCCACTGGCTTGTCTGGATCCAATGGGACTGGCCTCCTCATTTCACAGATGGGAAAATTAGGGCTGAAAGACCATTTGAAAGCCACATTAACACAACAGGAGAGCCACAGAAGGCAGCTTGATGAGTGGAAAGACTTTGATCAGGCTCTGGAGCCAATCAGACCAAGTTAGGCAATTGCAGCTTCATCCATTTTCTTAGATGCACTGACATTATTTAACTTTGCTGAAATTGTTTCCTCCTCTGTAAAATGGGGATTATAGCCACTATGCAGCAGGGAGGGTTCCATGGCACAACATACACATGCCACATGACAGTCTGCTTGGCACACAGCAAACAGGTACCCTTCTTGAATTAGCTGAGGAGCCCAGTGTTCTCTGGAATGGGGCCGACTCCCTGTCCTCAACCTACTGTGTGGCCTTGGATGAGTCATGCCTCTCTCTGAGCCATGTAGGCCTGGTAACCTCTGTGTGGCTATGGGGAAAGGTGCTCCCAGACTGTGACCTACACCCCCAGGTCCCTGGGACCTAACCTGGGGTCCTCGAGCTTGGGGTTCATGTTGGGCTCATCCCGACCCTGGCCAGCAGGTCGTTCCTCATGCTCACTTTCTGCTACAATCTCCAGGGTCATTTCCAGCTTGCCCTGCAGGGACAGAGAGAGCCTGGTTAGAAGCACAAAGGTTCTGTCTAGTGGCCTCAGAGAAGCCAGACCACAATAAACATAAGGATCATTTATTATTATTTATTTAAAAAATTGAATAGGGTTGCTCTGATCATAAAAGCATTACCTGCTCCTTATAGAACATTTAGAAACCAAAAATGAAAGAAAGGAGAACACTGCCCCTACTTCCACTATGCAGAGACAAGCACTTTAACATTTTTATGCATCAAGTTTAATAACTGCTTTTCTCCTAAGTGCATGAAAAATCCTACTGTGTATACAAGGTCAAACAATGAAGTTCTTGGACTCAGCCTAGAGAAAGTGCTACGTACCTCTTTGCTGAATATCATACAGTCACCTTTGAAGTACTCCCTCTGGGAAGCTGTGACTGACACCAGTGCCTAATCTACCCTTCAAAGCACTTCTTCTAGGATGAGTTTGCAAACTACATTGTCAGACCCCATATGTGTGTGTCTGTGTGTGTATATACAGTTCTCTAGCTAGCTTTTTATTTCCTCTTAGGAATATATTTCACTGTATAATTATGTACTTTTTAAAAGTTTGGCTTTTAATGAATACAAACATGTTATGGGATGGGGGACCATAAATTATTTAGTAATCTACTTACCTTAGTTCATTCAGGTTGTTTCCAACTCTTTGATTTGTAAATAATGCTACAGTAAACATCCCAGAACCTAGATTTTTTTTATCTAATTATCTCTGTAGAAGATATTTTACAAGTGAGATGAGTCCAAGGGCATATATATCATTAAATCTCTTCCTATATGTTATACCCACATTGGTTTCCCGCACAGTAAAACCATTAGCACTCCTGACAAATATAAATGAAGGGGCCTGTCTCTCTGCATCCTCACCAGCAATGAGCATTTCTACTTTTTTTTTTTTTGCAGTTTTTGGTGGGGGCCAGGTTTGAACCCACAACCTCCAGCATATGGGCCAGCACGCTACTCCTTTGAGCCACAGGTGCTGCCAAGCATTTCTACTTTTTACTGTAATTTGATAGTCAAAAATATTATTTTTGTATTTTGTATTGTATACATTTAAAAATACAATAGGCCCCTCCTTATCCATGGTTTGGATTTCTGTGGTTTCAGTTACCCGTGGGACAGCATCCATAAGATATTCTAAAGAAAGACAGACCACATTCACCTAACTCTTATTATAGTATATTGTTATCATTCTATTTTATTTTTATTATTGCCAATCTCTTACTGTGCCTAATTTATAAGAAAAAAAAAACCTTTAGCCTAAGTTCATAAGTACCCAAGAAAACATAGTATACATAGAGTCCAGCATTATTCATAGTTTCCAGCATCCCCTGGGGTCTTGGAACACACCCCACAGACAAGGGGAGACTGCTATATTCCTTTATCACTAGAGGAACTAATCTTTTTTAATGTGTAATAGACATTTACAATTCTTCTGTGAATTGTCTATATATGCCTTTTTCTCATTTTTCCTTTGATGTGTTAGTATTTCTTATTGTTATGATTCTTTATATAACAAGGGTATTTTATTTCAAGGACAGACGACTTTAAGGGTTGACTGGCTGCCTGTTATTCCTAAGTAAACTTTCAGGGATTAATTTCCTCCCCATGGCTGCTCTGAACTTAGAGAAAGGATGGTTCTCCAGGGTCCTCCAATCGCCTTCCTAAGCAGACCTCTCAGCAAGGAAAGTAGAACAAGGATGGTCCCTCAAAGGGTCTTGCTCAAATGGAAAGGACACAACCACATCCCTTCACCCAGGAGGCCAGATCAGAAGGGAATCCAGGACACAGATCTCTGATAAAGCCCATGAGCAGAGTACAAACAGCGTCATCTCTGGATTTAAGTAGGCTTCTCCTGGGATGTGGGCCTTGAGGGAGAGGAAGGCTGGGAATTGGAGGGGCAGAGCGAGAATGCCTTGGAAAACAGAGACAGTGAGGGTCGGAGAAAGAGGAGGAACTGTAAGCACACACATATGCGTGGTGATTTCTGTGGAAGAAGGTGCCCGGATGCCCTTCAGGGAGGCTGAAGGTAACAGACTTACCGCCAGTATCTTCTTCTCACCCTCCTCTGCTATACATGGCCACCAGCCCTTCACTGTCTTCTGCTCAAAAAGGGACACAAACCATTCCCGGTGGAAAGTGTCATCCAGCTGGTCCAAGGAGCACTTCTCGGCTGTCTTGGCTGGCTTGGGCATGCGGTTGAGATCCAGCTGCAGGGAGCCTGCAACACAAAGATGTTCTCTGGCTGAATGTCTCTCAGTTAGGGCCAGCCCGTGGCTACCCTGAGGCAGGGCAGGTTCAAGAAAAACTCACTGTCATCAGCTGCCATTCATGGCTGAGCCATGGGTATAGTCCCACAAACTCTCCCTCTCCCCATCCATGGCCTCTCTTTCCATCCTACCGCTTCCCAGTCATCTGTCCATGTATCCATATACCCCTCAATTCTAACAAAGCCACTTTTTCAACTATTCATCTTACTATGTATAAATCCATTCATATATCCATTGTCTATATATACCCATCCATCCATTTTTTAATTGTTTTTATCATGATAAAATATATACAACAAAATTCATCATGTTAACCATTTTCAAGTGTTTAATTCAGTGACATTAATTACAGTCACAATGTGGTGCAACCATCACCACTATTTCCAAAACTTTTTCATCTCCCAAGCAGAAACTCTGTAGCCACTAAGCAGTAACACCCCATTCTTCCCTCCCCGGCCCCCTGTAAGCTCTAATCTATTTTCTGTCTCTGTGAATTTGCCCCTACTAGATAATTCCCGTAAGTGGGATGATATAATATTTGTTCTTTCGTGTCTGTAGCTTAATGTTTGCAAGGTTCATCTAGGTTGTAGTACTTCATTTTTTTTTTTTTTTTTTGGCTGGGGCTGGGTTTGAACCCACCACCTCCAGCATATGGGGCTGGCACCCTACTCCTTTGAGCCACAGTATTCCATTGTATGTATATACAGTTATTTCTCTAATCTGAAAACTCAAAATCTGAAATGCTCCAAAATCTGTACGTTTTTGAGTGCCACAGGATGCCACAAGCAGGAAATTCCACACATAAGCACTTAACACACTTGGTTTCATGCACAAAATTAAGAATTTTGTTGAAAATTATCTTCAGGCTATGCGTATAAAGTGTATTTAGACTTGGATCCCATCTCCAAAATATATCATTATGTATATGCAAACATTTCAAATTCCAGACACTTCTGGTCTCAAGCATTTTGGATAAGGGACACTCTACAGGTACCACATTGTGTTTATCCATTCATCTGCAGTAAACCAATAATCAAGTTATTACTCCCTGGATGCTTGAGCTGTCTCCATCTTGTGACCAAATATTGCAGTAAACATTGGTGTGCAAAGGGCTAAGCCCGTTTTCAATTCTTTTGATGTATTCTGAGGAGCAGGATTCCTGGGTCATATAATAATTTTGTGTTCAGCTTTTCGAGTAACCACCAAACTTTTTTCCATAGCAGTTGTATCATTTTACATTAGTACACCAGCACTATACAAGGGTTTCAATCTCTCCACATCCTCGCAGCATTTGTTATATTCTGTTTTGATAAGGTATCTCCTTGTGGTTCATCCATCAGTCCTTTTCATTTTCCCAGCTAGTTATCTAAGCAGTCATCTTTTCATGTTGTTTCATATCATCCATTTTATCCATCATCTTCCCATCTAGCTCCAGCTACTATTAGGTTGAACCATATAAAAATGTTCACATTCAACTATCATTGATCTATAAAAATAGCAATTTCACGTGCTTTCACCTATTCCAATCATAACAACATGATAGAGTCAATGGATTTGACCAGAGGTTATTGAAAGGATCAAAAGAAATCTATCAAAAAGTTATTTTCTGAAGTCAAAGTAAAGAAATTCCTGAATAATAGATGTGTTTAGTATGGAATGCTCAGTTACTATAACTGAATATTTGGGTTTTTTTGTTTTTTTTTCTGAGACAGAGTCTCACTATGTCACCCTTGGTAGAGTGCCGTGGCATCACAGCTCACAGCAACCTCCAACTCTTGGGTGTAAGTGATTCTCTTGCCTCAGCCTCCCAAGTAGCTGGGACTACAGGCGCTGGCCACAATGCCCGGCTATTGTTTTTTTTTTTTTTGCAGTTGTCATTGTTGATTTTTGCTGGCCTAGGCTGGGTTTGAACCTGCCAGCCTTGGTGTATGTGGCCAAAGCCCTACCCACTGAGCTACAGGTGCCACCTATAACTGAATATTTGATCTAAGTATTTGTCTAGATTTCTTTCTTTCCACTCATCCATTGATCCATTAATCCTTCCATCTATCCATCTGCTTCAACCTACCTATCTACATTCCTCTAGTCCACAGCTACCATTTGTTGAGCACTATATCTATTCACTAATCAAGTTATTATTCCATCTGTCCACTTGTTCAACTCTATATCAGCATTTATCTATCTTTCTACAAACCCAGTATTTCCCCATCCCTCCAGTGCAGATGAATGCTTATTTCTCACTTAGAATATGGTGCCAGTATAGTATTAAGTAAATATCAAGATAATAAGCCCTTCCCCCCCCCCAACACACACACACACAAAATTATACCAGCTTGACTGTAAAGAAGCACTGGGTTATCTCTGGGTAGCAAGATTATAGATGTTTATCTATTATCTTTAAAATTAAAAGGTGATAAACATTCAAAACAAAAAATATATAATTAGAAAACATCTATAAAGATAGAAAAGAGAAATCTCATGGAGTTAAAAGATAGTATTTGTTAATGTTTTTTGCTTTGTTTTGTTTTTTAAAAAATAAAATCTCTTGCTCTGTTGCCCAGACTAGAGTGCCATGGCATCAGACTCACTCACAGCAGCCTCAAACTCCTGAATTCAAAATGATCCTCCTTCCACAGCCTTCTGAGAAGCTGGGACCACAGGCACCCTCCATGACATCAGCTAATTTTTCTATTTTTAGTAGAGACAGGGTCTCAATCTTGCTTAGATTGGTTTCGAACCCAAGGGATCCACATGTCTCTGCCTCCCAGAGTGCTAGGATTACAGGTATAGGCCACTGAGCCTGGCCTGTTAATGGCTGTATTAAGTTTCATTTTTAAAGACAAAGGATAAACCTATTTATTTCAAATACTGTTTTCTCATTTAACAAAAATGCTGGGGGAAGTTTTGTTTTTCTTTTAAAGTATGTGATTAAAAACATTCCAAAAAATTTAAAAGCACATAAAAAAAAAAAGAAATTATTTGCAATGTATCTTTAATATATAAAAAGCACTGAAAACCAATAATAAAAGATGAACACCCTAAAACCATGAAAAAGAAAATGCTACAATAATATAGATAATACATATATTTTTTAAAGTGCTACCTTACAATAAAGAAATGCAAATAAAAATAAAAATGACATATCATACTGGCATTTTTTAAAAATATGACAGTGATAGCAGAAGTTTGGGGAAAATGGCAACCTTATACAAACAGGACACTGATGGGAATACAAACAAGTAAACCTCTAGAGAGCCATGAAGAAAATGTTTGCAAAACCATTAAAATTTACAAAGATTCTAACAAATCTACTTCTTAGACTTAAGGGAAAGTCAAAGTCAAGCACAGAGGGTCTAACAACGTATGCTTACAGGTGTCACTGGGATTAAAAGTCTGGCAGTGACCTAAACACCCACCAAGAGAAGAAGAGCTAAGCACAGAGGGTCCATCTGTATGTTGGAAACTCAGGCAGGGATTAAGCGTGATGATGCAGATACAAATGTAGATAGATAGCTACTGACCAGAAAGAATGTTCTTGAAATACTAAGTTTTCAAGAGGAAATCAGGATATAAAATAGTAGGTATAATATAAACCTACTTGTATACACATGAATATACTTAATATGTCCTATGTGGATGCAGGTTTATATGTATATATAAAATATATATATAATATGCATATTCTTGTTTATATCTGGAATGCCATATATACATGCCAAAATGTCAGTGGAGGTTATCTCTAGGTGGTGAGATTAAGTGGGGAAGACCATTGCTTATCTGTATTTTCTAATTTTCCTGTAGGAATTCTGTACAGAATAATAAGTAAAATAACAAAAGTCAAATTTGATGCCACCCTTTTTCTGCCCTATCTCTTTTATACTGAAATCCTTTATATGCATATGACTAGGGCAAGTGTGCAGGGCAAGGCAGGCAGAGCCACCCTGGGCAGGCAGCCCTCTCCCGACTGCTGAGACCAGGGTCCCAGAACACCCCATGCAGGTGCCCAAGGACTTGGCAAAAACCAACTCACCTTTCTGCAACCAAGGGCCACCCCACATTGGGGGCCACCCAATGATCTGAGGCCCCCCTGCTCCCAAGGGGCTGAGCGGAGCTAGAAGCCAGGGCTCCTGACTTCCCAGGCTGCCTTCTTTTTTAAAAATTAAGGTAAAATTCACATTACATAAAATTCACCACTTTAACCATTTTAAAGTATACAAATTAGTGGCATTAGTATATTCACAGTTATGCAACCATCACCATCATCTAATTCCAGAACATTTTCATTACCCCCAGAAGAAACTCCATGCCCATCAGCAGCCACTGCCCATTCCCCTTCTCTGCCCCCAATCCCTGGCAACCACTAATCTGTTTTCCATCTCTGTGGATGTGCCTATTGCAGCTATTTCATATAGATGGAGTCACACAGTATTTGTCCCTCTGTGTTGGGCTTCGTTTGCTTAGCATGTTTTCAAGGTTTCCATGTTGTAGGAGTATCAGTATTTCATTTCTTTTTATGGCTGAACAATATCCCATTGTATGGGTAGACCACCTTTTCCAGCATTAACCTGTATAGTCATGACAGGGCCGTTGAACTCAACTCCTCTCCCAGACCAGCCTGCTGGTCTCCTACAGTGTCTTCCTTCTGGTCCCCACCTCCTACTCCTGCAAGGGCACCATTTCCACCCACCTGCTCTTACCCCTGAGCTCCCTGCTCTCCAGCTCAGGACTTCAGCACAGCCCTTCCCCACCAGAGCCCTGTCTGGAGCATGGGCATGGAGCCCATGTTTGGTCATTTGGTCAGTCACTCAGTGCAAGGGTAAAGAGTGACATAAACCCCTGACAGACTAGGGGAGGGGAGTATCCTGTAGAGTGTGAAGCATACAGCTGGCTTCACCTGTGCTTCCCTGCCTTCCTTTCCCCTCTGAGTCCCACCATCCCCATGGCCAGGGTCCAATGCCACCTCCACTGACAGGCCTGTCCCTGAGGCCACTCCCATCACTCTGTGTCACACATCTCACTCAGCACTGGGGACTCCACAACCTTGAGCTTCCTAAAGGAAGAAAGTAGGATGCCCCCCTCCTGTCAGGCTTTCCAAAGGATCCGAAAGAGTGGCACAGACTCAGTGGGGCTTCTGGGACAGCCCTTAATGTGCACAGGGTGACTGACAGAAATGATGCTTACCCAGAAAGTCATCAAAGGAGAACTTGTCATTGTCCCAGATCTGGAGTATCACTCGTGCTGGAATTTTGCTCTCTGTCTTGTCCAGCCTCCAGAAGGCATCCTGACCCAGAGTGGGAGCAGAGAAGGAAGCAGAGAAGCACAGTCAGAGAGGTAGTGGAAGCCTGCCTGGAGGAGGCAGTGGAGCAGGGTGTCCCCAGGAGTCTTGCGAGAGCCAGGTCCTGGTGGAGGACTAAAAAGGGCAGACCCCAGAAGGCAGTGTACAAAATCCCAAAAGGGTACCAGGCAGGCTCACTTCACACACGATGGCTCCTTTAATCTTCCCAATTTTGTAAATCAAGGTTATCACTCCAGTTGCACAGATGATGAAAGACAGGCTTGGAGAAGTTAAAGGAATTTGCCCAAAGTCTGACCACTAATAATAATATTAATATTGTACTGCCTATGTGTCAGCCGTCTGCCACTATGAACTCAGTTAACCTTCTAACAACTTAAAGGAGATACTATTTTTACAACTGAGGAAACCAAAGAAAGTAATTAGTCCAAGGTCACAGAGCTTGGATTCAAACCCAGGCAGCCAAGTTCCAGAGTCCTGCTCTGCACATTTGATCTCTAGGTCAGAGCTGGCTGGCTGAGAACCTAGGGGACCCCACCTTCCCTGGCTGTTGCTAGCAGGATCCCCCAGCTGCACTGCTGTAAGCAGCTGGCACTGAGACCTGGACCCTGGCTCCTCCCTCTGCACCTCACCTGCCTGGACCCCCGAGGCTTTCCCCAGGAGAAAGTTAAAGTCCATGGTGCTGGGAAGGGAGAAGAGGGGCCCTTATCACCCACCTCACCTCCCTCAGACCAGCTCTGCCCGGAACAAGGTTATCTTGGGCTTCTTCCCACAGAAGTCTCCTGGAGCAACTGAGGGATGTGGGATGGGATACAGGGAGGCCTGGGTTCCTCCTGGGGCCCAGCCATGCTTAACCCAAAGCATTCTCACTGAGGCTTTCACATCAGCTAGTTCTCTGTTCTTTCACTGTAGCTGTCCCTGGGTGGGTAGCAAGGACCAGAAGCACTGTGACCAATCTGCAGGTAGTGCCAGGTACCAAGCGTCAGGTCAGAGCAGGGCCCTGGACCCAACTCTATGGGGGATAGGCTCCTCACTGCTGACAACACAGAGTTTGTCTAGCCTTGAATGCCTGGTAAACAGATGTGCCGCCCAGCCAGCGCCTGCTGTGGCCACCCCAGCCTCAGAGGCTGGCCAGGCACATCCTAGTGAGCTCCAGAATCTAAGACCATGACCACTGCCCCACAAGGAACGAGTACCCAGTCTCAGCCCAGACTACTGCCCGGACTGAGGAAGGGGCTCAGTCCCCAGCAGGCCCCTTGCCCCCAGCCCTCTGTCTGGTGCCTCCCCTCTTCCAGGCCCCAACCCCCAGCCCTTCTGCAGGTGCCTCCCTCCTCTGGTGAGCTTTTATGGCTCACTCCACAGACCCGCCTGCACAGTGCCGGCATCCTCCACTCCTCTGGCCGGCTTGGTTTATGGGCTCGGTAATGAGCCAGAGGTTCAAACGGCCCCTGGTGGGAGCAGCTGGGCTGGGGCTCCAGCTTGGGGAACGAGCCCCCCCAGGTCCCTGGCGCTCATTATGCTCCTGGCCTGGGCCCTTTTACTAGCTGTTTATTTGCAGGGTGGGTGCCTGACGCGCAGGCGGGCCCCAGTGGGCGTGCTGGGCTCCAGGTGGGAGCTGGGCCGGGCAACCAGTGGTGGTTCAAAGCAGCCGGATGAAAGGAGACCTTGTACTTTACGACAGTCTCGTCTGGTTAATGGGGTCCCTGGAGGGCCTGCCTGCCAGAGGCCCTGAACCCCATGGCAGAGGGCTGGCTCTGCAGCAGACCTGGAGAGCCAGAGGCTGCGCAGTGCCCCTGTGCCAAGCCACCCTAGTCTCAGCCTTCATCCCAGACCAGCTAATTGGTACCCCACTGTGGGTCGGCTCTGCCTGTATCCCAGGTCCATTCCCCCACAGAGGGATGCTGACTGCCTTCCAGGTGATTTCAGAACCACTCAACCTCCTCTGTGACCTTCAACCCACCTCCCCAGAGCCTGGTGTCATATAGAGTTACTCCCCCCCCCCCCACGCCAGCCTGTCTTTGGACTCCTTAACTCTCCCCACCTCTTCATCCTCCCAGTCTGGCCCAGACTGTCAGACCAAGCTACCCCTTCTGAGTCCTCAAACCTCCTCTTCCCCTGGATCCCCCACTGCGGGTCAACATACTCTCTCCTTCCTCCTGACCAGAGCCTACAACACACTACCAATTCTTAGTCAGGGGCCCTGGGACCTGCCAGGTAACACTCCTCTGTGCCACCTGTCAGCATTGCAGCCCCTCTCTCTCTTCTCCGTCCTCACACTCAGCCTAACAGCCATTTCCAGCCTTTTCCATTTGTCTCAAATCACCTGTCACAATGCCAAACTATCTCCTCTTACTTCAGAGAAAAAAACAGAACCTCCCTTCCTGCCACTCCTTGCCCACACTGCCACCTGCCACAATGAGGGGCCACCCTGCCTCCCACACGTCTCAGGCTGGGCTCCCCATCCACAGGAGCTGCTTGCAGGTGAGCCCCAGATATGGTCTGCAGAAGCATGATGCCCTTCTATGTCCCTGTCCCCTGAGGTCCACAGCAAAGGGAGTGAGGCACTGAACACAGGCAAACAGGATTGCCTCATGACACATATGATAAAAGAGTCCCATAAGGTTTTGGTTTTCTTAAATATTATAGTCATAAGGAACCAAAAAAAGAAAGGTAAGCAATAACATCAAGCTGACAGTGTAGGATGACAGGCATTTCTAAGGTCATTCAAATTCCCCATCAGTAGCCCCACTCCTTATGGAGGCTTATCTATTTTAATACACAAATATACTAAACATAGCAATATTTTAAATAGGCTAACATGTTATGAAAAATAGTCATAAGTAATTGGCACACAGTCGAGGCTTTCCTTGACTTCATAGAACCCCATCGCTAAATTCTGCTTTCTGGCAGTCACTACACAGCAATCCCTGGGCTAAATAATCCATTAAACCATATTTAATCCATGTTTTCTTTTGTTTGATGCCTTCAGAATGTTTCAGAATGTTCAGCAGAACATTTTAGTTTCTTTAAAGAACAGAGGATCCTGTGTGTTGGGCTGGAAGGATCATGTGGAAAGGATGTAAGAAGAGAATTAAGAAGAGCCAGGCACTGAAGCGCATCGTGTGTATCCTTCTTTAGGCTGCTCACTTCTGACCTTCAGGACAGAAGGAAGAGCCACAGAAGCTTCTAGGCTTGAAGCCTTGTGCCATCTCTGGAAGAAAGTCAGGGAATAGAACCTAAACACCAAAAAGGCTTTACCCCGTGCAGCAGGAGAGCACCTGGAGTGGAAAGTGATGCTAGGTGGGATGAGTGGGCAGCACTCCAACGCTCCTGAGCCCCTCACTGCCCACAGCATCCCTTCCTGAGCTCTGGTGACTGCTCTTTGAGAGTAGGCCTGGTGCCACCAGGAGGAAGCCAGCTGTCCTGAAGCACTGCCCATTTGGGGGATAAAAAGTTGATGGCCCAGAGGAGACCTGAACTAGGAGAGGCAAAGACTGAGGCCCCCCAATCCACTCCTGTCCTGGGGCATTCCACCTCTAGTGAGAGGTGAGGGGTGGAGAGAGGAAGGCAACAGCTTCAGGACCAGACAGGCAGTCATCTATAGTGATCATTCAGCTTAGAAAGTGACCACAGACACAGATATTAGAATCCAGGTAGCGGGAGAGACTTAGCCAAGCACTCCCGATCCTGGGGATAACATGATGTACAGGCCACGCCGGCCCTCTGGGGAAGCTGCTCCTGTGGGGTCTGCCACACTGCCCCTTCGAAGGTCATACTAGGTTTCTCTGATTGTCAACCTTAGATCCAAAGGTAACAGCTCTGCTGTTGATGGCAAAGAGGGAGGAAGAAAACAAAAAAGTGGAGTGGGGAGGTCAAGGAGATGATTGGTTAGTAAACATAATGGTAGTAGTGCCATGAATGATGGCACAGTATAATCGTGACATGGGCAATGAAGGTGATGTGGGCAGTGGTGGACAGTGGAAGTGACATGAGCAGAGATGGGCAGTAGAGGTGACATGGGAAGCAATGTTCAGTGATGGTGACATGAACAGTGGTGGCGGGTACCATGCAGGGATGGTGTTGGTAGCATATGGTGTGGAGCACTGCTGAGGTTGTGACACCAGCCCAGTCATCAGTTGGTCAGGGGGTCCTGCTGACATTAGTAAGGAGTAGGACTGGCACCATTGGGAGATAGAAGGTCACTCACCTTCTTGGCGATGATGCAGACTTGCTCAGCCGGCAGGTAGTCAAAGGGGAAAATAAACCTCCAGTTAAAGTTGCCCTCGCCTCCCAAGGAGCGATAATGCACATCTGTCTTTTGCTTGTGTTCTTCAAAGCCGATCATCCAACTAGATGTACGTGATTTTAGAGAACATTTTTCATCAAGATTCCCAACACAGTGTACATCCTCAACTTAGCTAAGCAGGAAATTAAGAAGGTAAGCAAGCTCGGAAATTATTTTGCAAAAATAATCCCCAGGAAATCTGCATGATGCACACACTGTGCCATAAGTTTGAAAATGTCAACTTCTCAGCCACTCTTGAAGGGTGTCCTCAAACCTTTAAGTTCCACCAAAGGTTTAGTGAAGAGGAAGAAGACTGGTGGGAGAGCAATTTCCCAAAGGCAGAGCCAATCCTGTGTACCCCTCTGTTGAAGCTTATTTGCTTTGCCCTTCTCAGCACCCAAAGTCCCCACTAGGCTAGACCTAAAGGGAACAAAGACGACACAGTGAGCTGTGACCAGGGAGACAGTGGGTCCCTACCCTTTCACATAAATGTCACTCATCTTCTCCCCCGTGATGCTGAGGTCATCCAAGATCACATCTCTGGTGTTCCAGATGATACAACGCAGGAAAAACCTGGGGAGAACAATGACTCATATCTGCATAGATTTCCTACTGAAGGGTGAGAAGTCCTTGGCTGAGAAGCCAGAAGCCCACTCACCTGAGAAGACTAGACACCTGCCTGGCTGGACACCTGGCCAGACCCAAACAAGAGCTGCACTCTGTGGCTCACATGGCTCAAAGCCTGGCCAAAGAATGACCTGGTTCCACCCACAGTAGGTTGTGACCCTCCCCCACCCAGCTCAGCTCAGAGCCCGGCTGGCCAAGTCACCTTTTGGCTCTTCGGGGAGTGATGTTGAAGGGAGGTCCAGGCCGTCCCAGGGCCTTTGGAAATAGGTCGACCCACATCTGCAGCTTCCCCTGCGAAGACAGGGGCCCATTCTCTCTCCACCCTTTCCTTCAACCAGCAGTCACCAAGCACCTGCTCTGTGCCAGATGCTGGGGGAATAGGGCAGAGAATCCCCAGCCCTGCAAGGTGGGGACCCTATACAAGGGATTACAGGGCTGACTGCAGAGGTGAGCCACAGCCCAATAGGCCACCAGCTTGGGCCTATGCCTGGGGATCAAGGGTCAGGGAAGGTTTCTCAGAGATGGTGATGGTTGAGTTAAGTCTTGTTGACCAGGAGAATGGTATGTGCAAAGTTGTGGAGTCAGGAGGGCTCAGGTGACCTGAGTCATGACAGGACATGACTCCCCCTCCCTGCCCCTCAGACCCCTTTCTTTCTGCAAACCAGATGTGATTTTTGTCCCATGTTAGAGAAGAAGGAATAGAAGTTAAGTCACTTCTGCAGGGTCAGTTTCCACACCTGCTATGCTAGTCTGGGGGAAGCTGGTAGCCAAAGCACCTTGGGAAGAGAGAGCTGCGTTCCAGACAACAGAGATGATGTCATCTGGCATTCACAAGCACCTTCATGGATCACTTTGCCTGTAACCTTGACTTTCCTCTCCTCCCCAAACCAGCTCTGAGCTCACTTCCTCCCCAGATCACTGTCCCAAGTTTGCTATCTGTGCTCACCCCCCTGCCAGTCACTGCAACCCAGCTCAGGGCCAGCCATCTGAGACTGAGTCACTGACAGATGGCAGTGAAGCGGGGACCCCTTGAGGCCAAGATGAAACAACAGGCTGAGAATACTGGCAGGAGTCAGGGCTGGGCTTATGTAGGGATGAAGGAGGTGGCTCAGACTTGTTCCCTAGGCTCTGGGGGCTGGAGGTAGCCAGAGGAGGCTGGGCTCTAGAGATCCTGTCACAGGTCAACAGTGGCAGCCACTTAGACTCAAGAACAGGTCAAGGAAGGACTGACCAAATCCCAAGGTCCCTAATGGTTCCTCTGTGATATTCACACTCTCCTTGGAGTGGGGCTGTCTAAGTTAGAGGACACTGGGGCCTAAGGGTTGAGGTCCTACCTGCTCAATGTCTGGCTGCAATGGGCTGTAGAGGGGCCGTGACTCCACATGCTCTGGGACCAGGCCTTGCTGCTGAAGGACATGCAAAGCCAAACGCTCTTCCACTGGGCCCAGATGTGGGTTGGGGATCATGCCAGCCTCTGTCCCAGAAAGAAGACAGAAAAGTTGCAGGAGCCAGGTGAGAGAGAGACAGTAGGAGGGTGAGCAATGAGCAGCTCCAGTGAGCAGGCTGAGGAGGGCTGCCCAGAGACCACAGGAAGCCATAAGCCACTGCAGCCTCACTCCAAGCCCAGGCACACTTGGTCTGGTTCTCTCTCATATCCCACTTTCTGTAGGGAGTTTCCTAGCCCTTGCTATCAGTGGGATCCAGGCATAAAATCCAGACTCACTATTGCCACCATTTCTACGAAGCCTCTTCTTTAAGAGTTCTTCTTTCTCTTTTCCACCAGTATAAATCATTCTCATCTGCCAAAGCCCACCCTTTCCAGAAAGCCCTCCCTGACAGCTCCCAATTCTGAGTCTCAGCAGATCTGGCAACCTAGCACTATTAGTACTATTCTCAGGCTGATGTAAGTCATTCTATTAGTAGCAGTAGCTAAAATAATAGTAAGAACAGAAAACACTTCCAGAGCAGGACCCACGTGCCAGGCACTGTTCTTCATGGATATTAGCACATTTAATTCTATAACATCCCTAGAAGTTAAGTGTTGTAATTATTCCCATTGTATAGATGAAAAATCTGTGTGGAGGGCAGTGCCTGTGGCTCAAAGGAGTAGGGCGCCGACCCCATATGCCAGAGGTGGTGGGGCCAAACCCAGCCCCGGCCAAAAACTGCAAAAAACTTCAAAAAAAAAAAATTCTGTGTGGAAAAGCCACACAGCTAGGAAGCTGAGACCACATGCTCATTTAGGAAAGGTGCAAAACTAGGCCTAAACACCTCCTTGCTATCCTCTGGGACTTCCCAGGTACAACTCTTCCCTGCCAGGGTGGGTCAAAGATTGGTGCTGTAGGCGGGGAAAAGATATGAGGTAGCCCTGACCTCAGTACCCAGCGAATCAGCTAGCAACCTGAACTTGGAGCCTTGATTTGAGGGGTAATGGTGGTCCACATGCATCTACATGTACACATGTACACACAGGTGCATGCCCCCAGGTGAGCCCACACACGCCAACACAGATTCTCATGTACACACACACATTAACCTATCAGACCTGCTGTGCCTATATTAAAGTGATCCCCCCAAAAGCAAGATTCCCCAGAAGGAATCTGGCTCTGCTCCTGACTGGCCAGGTGACATTGGGCAGATCATTAACCACTCTTGGCCTCAATGGCCTCACTGTAAAAACAGGCAGATGTTAGACCTCACCATCTCTAGCTTTCTGGCTTTGTTTCCCAGACTTTATGATCATGAGCCCTGGTCCCTATGATAAAGTTGCTCACAGACTAGTAGAAGGAAATGAGACTATCCTCAAAACAGATGCATGTTCTATCGGGAAAAAGCATGGGGGGTGGGGTGCCTAATGGCTGAGCCAGGCTCAGCCACAACCTGAGAGAGTCAGTAAACCAGAACAAGGAGGAGGAGGGGGGTGGCAGATGGGGCATCAAAGCCATCATTCCACTTTTATAACCTTGGCACCAGCTCTGACATCAAACGCATTGAAGCAACCAGGAGGTGAGGGGCCAGCTGGGCCTGTAAACACCTCCAAGAAGCCTGAGCTGCTCTGAGTGGGTGACACAGACCTGGGCATCTCAGACACACAGAGAGCACATGGCAGGATTCCCAGCCAAGAGTGCTGTGCAGAACTGGGTGGCAGGGGAGGGAGTGCAGGGCCTCCTGCCTGCTCTTTGGATGCCTTAGGTGCACAGGCTGAGGGTGGGACTTGGAGGGCACCATCAATGTCAAGCTGGCAGGCTAGCACAGTTCAAGCAGAAAACTGTTTCTCAGAGGTGGTTTGTATCCCAAGCTTCAACCAAGGTCCAACCATCCAAAGCCAGCAGACTAATCCTAATCCGACCCTGGCACTGGCTTTAGATTCACGCTCCCCTCCATCTTGACTATGAATGATCCCTGGCCTGGTCTTGGATTGAGGCCTGACCCCAGCCCCAGCCTGACCTCTCACTTTCACAGTGGCATCACAGGTAAGTACTATACCCAAAGAACCAAGTACAAGTGCAGCCCATTTGTACGGCCCTGGAGAGATCCAAGCCATAGCTTGCAGATGTGGGTTCTGTTCACTTGGTCCCTTTATGGGAGGAAAGGGTCTGATGAGGGACAAGGAGGGAAAGGGAGAGCCCCATCATGGGATAGGGTTGCATGGCAGCTCACCTATCTCTTCAATGGTGTATTCTTTATCCTGAAACAGCACTCGGTCTGTCTGGTACACAGGGGCCTTGACCCTGCGCTGCTGGCAGAAGAGGTGGAGAAGCTGGGAGGGGCGGAGCTGGTCCCTCCACTGGTTTGGTCCAGAGCTGAGGCCCAAGCATAAGACAAAGATGAGACACTCCAAGGACAGGTGCAAGAGCAGAGGAGCATGCAGTGACGTATGTACCCTCACACACAGCAGCACCCACATCTGATCACTCATCATGAATGGGCGTTCCCACTCTACAGATGAAGAAACTGAGGCCAGAGAGAAAAGGACTTGTTTAAGTATGCATGTAATTGGAACTAAACTGTTTCCAATCTCCAGAGTTAGAGAATCAGACCCAAATAAATCCCAAGATGATAGGAAAAGGGGTGCTGTCTACACGTGAGTTCCTCTTACATAAACTGTCACAAAATTGGGGCAGTGCCTGTGGCTCAAACTGTCACAAAATTCCCAGCTAGGGTCCATGTGTCCTACCATTTATCCCCCTTCCTTTTTCCCCTCCATCCTTCCTATTTTCAGGTGCCCAGCATTGTAGAGGCCCTCTGCGGAACATCAAAGAGAACTGGATCATAACAGCATAATGAAGAGCCAGGGCCTTAGAGGCATACACACAGGTTCAAATCCTAACCCCACCACTTACGAGCCATAACATCCTTGGGCCTCAGTTTCCTCAACTGTGGAATGGGGATAAGACCCCCACTGGATTCCATGAGACAATGTCAAGGTAATACTAAGCCCAGACTGGCACGTGGTGAGTGCTCAGGAGACAGGGGTGATTTGTGTCACAGAAGCAGCCACCCCCACACACATACACACAATAGGTCTGTGGGAGTCCACAGCGAGCCCCAAACTTGGACAGCAGCCTGTTCTCCAGGTCAATGACTGTCTCCCCGATCTTTTCATCCTTGGAGAGGAGGTCATAGTCATAGAGAGTGATCTTCAGGTCCTTCTCCAGGGGCAAAGTACAGGTCAGCTCAAACATCCTGCAGAAAGGCAAAAGGCAGGACACCACAGGCTCCCTGATGTTGCCTCATGCAGCCCCACTTCCAGGGAGTGGAAGGAGGGGCTGGAGCTCAGAAGCCATCCCAGGGAGTCCAGCCTCCTCAGGCCTCCTGTTTCTCACAGCACCCTATCCACAGCACTGCTCTCCTGGGCTTGTCTGAGAGAGTGAGAGTGAGTGTGTGTGCATGCACATGTGTGTGTCGGGGGCGGCAGTATCCCAAATAAACTGGGCTGCGCACACAGGAGGTGCCTGCTGGAAGGGCCACAGAATGACAGAACAGATTGGAACAGAACTTTAAAACTGAAGTCTCTACCACAACACTGGGAGACAAGTGATGTGAAACTTCAGAACCAGGCTGGACTTTGGGATTGACCAAGTGACCCGTTTTCTGGACTCTTGGGCCTTCACACCTACTTCTGGGGTGGAATGGAGGGGGCACTTGTGAGAGACTCCTTTAGGGTGCTCCTGCTGTAGCTAAGATTTTCACCTACCACAGGGGTCAAAGGTGAGGGTATTCTCCCTTCTCCTCTTGAAATGAGTTCCCTACAAGTAGGAGACACAGATCTGGCACACGTCATGCTCAAGGAAGCTAAAGCAGCTTGTGGCAAAAAGGAGAGCAGGGGCCACATTTGGGAGGAGCTGCTGGGGAAGGAATGCAAGGATTTCCTGGGAGGAGCGAGGCCACTATAAAGCCAGACCAGAGCCACTCTAAGTCCTGCTCCATGGGCCCTCCCAGGGGTCCCAACAGCAAGAGACTGGAGTGGACAGTCTGAGAACCAGGAGCTTGGGGCAGCCAGCCACAGGGACAGAGAATCAGCCACATCCTGGCAGGCACAGTGGGAGGGTCATAGGGACCTCTGAGAGCCTCCAGAAAGCACCCACAGGAAGGTAAATAGGCTTTAAGCTTTTGCCACTCATAGAGTGCCCAGACAACCAGGGCAGGTGAGATGGGCCTTGTAGTTCTGGTCCTATAGAAGTCAGAAACCTTGGGGCCAGCCAGAGAGGAGAGGGGAGAAGCGCTAAACAGGGGAAGGGACGAAGGCACACACATACCCCCAAAGTGGCCCCGGCAGGAGAGGGGAAAGTACTCCCTTGGAGCCATGAGGGGGCTCATGATTACACAGGAGTGGGGACTTGAGTGGGCATTCTAGGTATGGCTAGACCATGGGTTTGTTGACTTAAAATGGCTGAGCTCAAAGTGATCAGGAGAACTGCCTGCCTGTCACTTTCCACACAGGAAAGGGGAAGGTGACCCCACAGAATAAGTGCTCACAGGGTCCTGGCAGACAGAGCAAAGCTGTGCTTTGATTCCATCTCATGAGTTCCACACACGGGTTATGGAATGGAAGAGCTACTGATGGAGGGAGGCCTGGCCAGAATTTGGGGGAGATGGGGAAATAGGAGTAGGAGGGATTTGTTTCTGCACTGGCCCCCCACTTGCCCTGGGCCCTGACATCCCCTCCTATGGAACAGGCCCCACACCAGCAGTGGAGCTCAGTAGAGCTCCTCTTTCCCACATACCACCCTGCCTCCCACTCTAGCTTGGTGATGGCCCATCACTGGCCAGACCTGTTTCCTCTTCAAAAACTGCACTTCACCAGGATGATTGGGTCTTCACTGCAGGGTGAAGACCAACTCGATAGACACTGGCTATAAATACAATGTGTTGCATGTGATGATATCAGAACATCAGGCATCTGCTCCTACAGGAGCTAGAGAAATAGCCCCCAACCAATGCAATTCTCCCTCTTCTGCCAAAAGCAGCTCACACCCAAACAGCAATTCAGGAGGTTAGGAGCTACTCCCATGCAATAGGCATTGATCCTTCCTTTCCTTGTTCTTAGATTTCAAGAAACATTTTACCATCCTGGGTCTACATGTTTCTTCTAGCTATCTCTATAGACACACATGGGACACTTACAGAGAATAATTACTAAATGCACTGTAAACCAAATTGGATCCTGAGATGTTAGTAAAAGGACATTAGCAAAAGTAAAAGAAATGGGTGAAATTAGTGTTAGTAAAAGAAATGGGTGAAATTCTCATAAAGTCTATAGTTTAGCTAATAATAATATACTATGTCAAGTTCTTTATTTTGACAAATACACAGTGGCTAGGTAAGATGTTAACAGTGGGAGAAATTGAGCAAAGGATATATGGGAACTCTGTACTTTGTAACTTTTCTATACATCTGAAATTATTCCTAAGGAAATGTTTACCTAAAAAAAAAATTAGCAAATTCATCTTTTAAGCTTCCATGTAGATTTCTGATCTTAGAGGTAATTGTGTTCAACCAGGAATTTCTGCTGGGACACAAGCCTTCGGCACAAGCCTTTGGCCCCCATAGACATGGGAAATTTAGGGAACATACATCTGCTCCGGGAAGAGGTTGCATATCCCATACACGCACTATGCTGTGAGCATCCAGATTGGCTCCTGCCCCACTTACTTTCCAAATACAGGCTCCAGGGTACAGGGGATATAGTTTTCCTGGTCACTCACTGATTTCTTCCCTACGGAGATCTTGATGTAAGGATCACACTGAAGGAAGAGACAGAAACACTTAAATGAAATCACTTTCCCAGCATGTCTTTGGGGCTCTGAGTCTCTGGCCTCCAGATGGAATAAGGTGGCCAGCCACTGGGAAGGAGCCCCATCCTACACACCACACCACACCACTTGGCCCAGGCATGGGTTTCCTATCTTGGTTCTACCAATGGAAAGGGACTATCTGCATCTTCCATATACCCAGTCCTGGGAGAGGCAGGTGAGTACTGGACTCATGTCCTCAGAAACACAATAATCTCTATTACATGTATGATGAGGCTAGGCTGGAGCCTTCTCTGCAGCCTCAGCTTAAGCATGTGGAAACTAAAGACAGATGGTCAGACTTTGTCAAACTGAGCTAGCCCAGGTCAGCCTCCCTGATGTGTCCTGCAGGCAACAGTACCCCTTCAGCTAGCCTCCTTGGGCTGGAAAGTGCTCAGGGTTGTCTGACATCAAGAAGCTTCAAGTACATAAACTAACCCACTGTCCATGACCATGTCTTAGAAGCTACTGGCATTGCCAAGGCTGAGGGCTGTTCTACTCTGTTGTGTGATCTAATGACTTCATACCCTTGAAAGGCAGAACCTAGGCCTTTACCTCCCACACACCTCAAAGACATAGCTAGGCCTAAGGAAGTGACAGAAGACTCCAGCCTCATACCTCCAAACTCCAACTGTCCCCCAGCCCTGCCTCTCTTCTCTCCTTTTTATCTCTCCTCCCAGCTTTACTCTGTCTCCCCTGCCACCTCCCCATAACTCCAGTCTTCTTCCTTCCTTCAAATCTCCCTTCTCTATCTCAGGCCAAGTCTAGTGTGAGACGGCTGAGGCACTTGTCTTAGGCTCAACATTTATGGGAGGGCCAAAATATATAGTTATCAAAATAAGCAATATTTTAACACAACATTTTAAAAACTAAAATCAATGCCAATTGCCTGTGATTAACAAAATCTTTAGTAAAGATGACAATGGGCTTCTCCTTGTGTCTGGCTCCTCTGTGGCTAGGCACAACAGTTACTAGACCTGCTTCTTCCCACCGACCATGGAAACCCCTATAATGTCCACTCCCAGCCTACACCTTCCACCTTACATTATCTCAAAGGGGGATCCTTGTTCTAGACATACATTATGTAGTCTTCTTTCAACCTTTGCCTATGTTTTTGACCCCTCTTAAAATACTATTTTCTTCTTCCTCCTAGCCTATCAAAACTCCATATAGCCTTAAGAGTCCTGTGCCTTCCAGGAAGCCTTCCCTATCTCTCCAAAGTCCTGTACTGACTTTGGCCTTGTCCAACCTCCTAGAACACTTGATCTTTAAAAGAACTCCATTCAGTCACATCTCACTCTTGTGTGTGTTTGTCTGATTTCCCAGCTTACTGTGAACCCTTGGGGCAGAGATTGTTCCAGATTCTGTTGGCCATTCTTACCAGAGCCCACTGTTCTTGGGCAGAAAAGGGCTATAGGGATGTTACCTTCCCATTGGGGTCCTTGGGCTGCAGTCCAAATGCTCGGACAATGTAGATGCGGACCAAGCACTCCTGGGGCCCCTGAGCAGCCATCTGGTGGAACTGTCTTGGGGGCATGGGGATGGCGGGGTCTTCTGGGAGGGGATAAATTTTGAAGAGCCCCTGAAAAGAATGAGGGATTAATTTTCATCTGTATCATCGTGTCACCCACACAATCACCATCATGACCATTACTCTCATCTCTACAAGAATCATCACTAAGAGATCACCAAGCCCAATGGCATCACATTATCACCATCAGATTCCACTCCAGCAGCCTCACCACCACTGTCAACTTCACCACCTCCATGACCCACACAGTCACCAACATCAGCACCAGGGTCACCACTGCAGATATTACCCCTCTCCCTTCACTGGTGGTTGCAACACCACAGTCTTAGGCCCACCTGGGTTAGGGACACATTTTCAGTGACTTACTTTAAACTCCCCAATGATAGAAGGATCTTCTGTCTCCTCCTGGGTCTTGCCCCGATAGAGCTTGAAGGTGTTGCAAAAGTCAGAAAGGCCCTCAAAGGCCTCCACATTCTCCAGTTGTGTGTCATAGACCTGCCACATTTGGGGGGATAAGAGAAGGGGACAAAGGAAAGAGAGAAAGCAAAGAGACAGCAAAGGAAGAGGGAACAAGAAAAGAAAGAGGAACATGAGAGCATGAGGATAGAGAGAGAAAAAGAACAGAGAAGAAGAAAACAATGGAGAAGACCAAAAACAAAGTAAAGGAACAAAAGCAGAAGTGGAGAAGTAGAGAGAGTTAAGAGAGGAAACCAAGAAGGAACAGAGGCAGAGAGGAAAGAAAGCCACAGGGAAAGGGAGCAAGAGGGAAGACATTTATTTGTTTAGCTCCATTAGGGAAGAGGGTTCTCTGGTTAATAAAATAAATATTCTGGTACCCAAAAGTCATCATAGACCTGGGTGGTGCATTTTCTAAGACAATAAAATCACAAACAAATGAAAATTCGCCTTGTTATTTGAGGACTAAGACACAACTCTGGAAAATTAACAGGTCAACAATTCAAACAAAAATTCTTACTGTATAATATGTCCAATGACAGTGGTACCAAATATCAAGCCAAGCGTATCTTGAGCACCATTTTAAATTTGTTAACTCCATTATTTACTTATCTCCTCTCAAATATCCATATTATTATTTGTTAGAGCAATGTTTTGCAATTTCTTAGGCTTTAATAAAGCAACAGATTTTTTTATTACAGATGATGCAATGTACCTAATAAACTAATAATCCCCTGTTTCTACTGAAAATTGAGAAATTAGCGGTATGCTGTGGCAGGCACCTGTAGTCCAGCTACTGAGGAAGCTGAGGCATGAGGACGGCTTGAGCCCAAGAGTTTGAGGTTGCTGTGAGCTATGATGATGCCACAGCACTCTACCCAGGGCAAAAGAGCAAGGACTTTGTTTCCAAAAAAAAAATGGTACCACTAAATTCCTAATTTGCACTTATTTGAATACTAGAGAAACTGGCGTGGGTTTTATCAGCCACTTGTATTCTCTCCTTGCAAACTTGTCAACGGCTCATCCTTGTCACTTGTCCATATCTCAACTATCCATGTCTGTTTCTTTGCAATGGTGATTTGAGAGATCTCTCTGTATGTAAAGGATATTCACCTTTGGTCTATCAAATGAGCTAAAATATTTTATCCCAGTTTGTCATTTGCCTTCCAACTATGTTTCTGATATGTTTATATTTTCATTTGTCTGTATTTTATTTTATTTTTATTTATTTTTTTTGGCAGACAAAGGAAAAATTATTGAGACAGACAGAAATGCACCTACTCGTGACTACAGTTAAGTATTTACTATTATGTCTGTATTTTATTATGTTTATATTTATGATTTTTTTACCTAATAATTTCTAGAAAGTCTCATCTAAAGATTTTTTCTTTATAGCTTCTGCCTTTCAAATTAGGCTTAGAATGTCTTCACAGCATAATTATTCAGCATTCAGTATAACTTGGTATATGGTCTTTGGTAAGAATTCAACTTATTTTTTTCACCAAATAGTTAAGCAATTCCTTAAGCACCATATTTGTTTAAGCTATTTCTTCTCTTCCCAGTGATTTGTATTATACATTAAATGCTTACCTATCCTTTTGTTTGTTGGTGATCTTTCTATTCTGCTACTTCTCCGATTTTAATTATTGAACCCCTATAACCTATTTTATTAACTGACATTCTTCCAAATGAAATTTTAAAATATTAAGTCCAGTTTTCAATAAAATTGGAATTGTTATTAGACTTGTATTAAGCTTAAAATTAATTTTGGACAGGACAAATAATATCTCTGTAGTGTTGACATTTTTATCCAGCAATCTAATCTGATTCTCAATTTATTCCATTTCTTTTCTTATATATTGTCATCTTCACAGAGAGGCTACATACTTATTGTTGAGTTTGTTCCTCATTAAACTTAATTTTTTGTTGGTATTGTGAATGTGAATCTTCCTTTTCCTAGATTTTCACAATAGATGCTGCCATCTTCCTGGGCTCTCCTGACAGCTCTCTTCAGGTGCTCAAGCAAGTCACTTGCACACAGTGACAATTTTGTCTCCTCTTTCTAAAATGAATAGCCTATGTCTTTGTGTTGACATTGAAATGGTTAGAACATACAGAATAATGTTAGATGATAAAGTGAATGTGATCATGGTGAGTCAATTCTTGTTTCTGTCAAAAAGACTGTCTAGCATTTCACTCAGTACCTTAGCCTAGACTGAGTCACAGAGTGCTTTGGTAATCTATAATCAGTAAGTCTGGGATCTCTTCCCAGACAAATGCACCTGTAGACATGCTTAAGAAACACAGGTTCAATTTCTGGCATAAAGAGAGTTTCTGAAATTGTGAAGTTGGATGCTGGCTATTGGTTTGAGAAGTGTATTTTATAACACTTATTATTATACACTTATTTTATAAGTGTATTTTCTATTTCCAATATGTTATTGTTCTTATGAATCACCAATGGATGTTGAACTTTATCAAATGCTTTTCAGCATTGACTGATAATCTGTGTTAATTCTACGTATTTGATAGGATGAATAATATTAGTGATTCCCTAATGTTGAACTCTTTACATCCTGCAATAAAGTTAATTTGGCTATCATGACTTACTATTTTTAGATCTCACTTGCTATTATGTAAAATTTTGTACACATATTCATTTCATAAATAAATGACATTTATATGTGCAGTTGTGCTTTATTGGATTTTGGTGGTAAAATAATCCTACTTATACAAAAATCAAGGTTTTCTACCTTTTAATTTTTTTTCTCTGCTGTGAATTTTAAAATAATGTTTTAATATATGTACCACAGGAATTACTTCCTCTTTGAAAATCTGGGAAATTCCCTTTATAGTCAGTCCCCTGGCTCTTTCTTTGGAAGTAATTCTTAGATAATTTTCCTGTTTCTTTCATATTTTTCTGTTGCTTTTTGAGACAGTGGTGGCATTTCTTTTCGACTTCATATTATCTCATTTCTAGCAGTTTTGATACCCATTCATTCACATGGAAACACTGAATTTACCTAAAATGCTTTGACTCTCCATTATGTCCCTATTTTCATTATGGATATTGGCTTGGTTTCTCTACTTCTCTAAATTAGATTAACTGGATAGTTATCTATTTTAATTAATTTATTTCAATCAAAGCACCAATTTATTCATTTATTAATTCTCTCATTTTCTCTTTTTTAGCTTTTTATTTCTGCTTTTATTTTTTTCTATTCTTCATCCTACTGTTTTGAGGACCCTCTCATTATCATTCTTCCTAACTTCTTGAGTTGAATCTTTATTTATGTTATCCCCTTTTTCTGGATAACGAAGGTATTTGCTCCTATGAAATTGCCTCTGCTTACCACTGTGTTGGCATTGCCCCATTTGTTTTGTTATATAATGTTTTCATTCTCATTTTTTGGCATTCTATAATTTCAGTTTTATTTTTATTATTTGGTCCCAGAGTTGGACTTTCAGTTGTCTTCTTTGTAATTAACATTAGTGCTTAAGGATATAAATTTCCTCCGAATGCCACTTTAGCTATAACCACTAAGCTCTAATACACAGTGTTTTATCACTGTTTCTCTGTTTCTTCAATGTTCTGCAATTTCAGTTTGTATTTTCTCTTTCACCCAAGAATTATTAAAAGATAAAATTCTTCATTTTATAATTTTCTGGGTAGACAAGTCTTTAGAGACTTTTTTTTTTTTTTTGCAGTTTTTTTTTTTTTTTTTGGCCGGGGCTAGGTTTGAACTTGCCACCTCCGGTATATGGGGCCGGCGCCCTACTCCTTTGAGCCACAGGTGCCGCCCAAGTCTTTGGAGACTTTTGATCCTGTTATTAATTTTTAATTAATCACATTACAATAAAAAAATGTTGTCTGTGATATTACCAATTTTTGTAAAATGTCCCATTGGTGTAATCTTTTGGCTACTGTGTTTAATCAGGTTAATAATTATGCTGGGTCTTCTATAGTCTCTCACATCTCTGTCCCCTTGATCTGACGTGAACTGAGAGAAGTGAATTAAAATCTCCTATCTCTCAGTGTGTTTCTTTGGCTTCTTAAATCCCTTGTCATTTCTGTTTTGTTGTATTATCTAGAATATAGATAGTCTCCTAACTGTCATATTTAGGAACTATACCAGTTAGCATTATAAAGTGCTGTCTTTACTCTCATTTAATTTAGGGACCTAAAATTAAGACTATGGCTTCTGCTTTCATTTCATCTGCATTTGCCTGGCACACATTTTCCTAATCCTTTATGGATCTTCTTATTTTAGAGTCAGATTTTGCTTTGAGATCTGATTTAAACTTGGTAATTTAAAGAGGCTCATGTAATATGTTTATATTACATTTCCTAGTTTTTTTTATTCTTAAATATCTTTGACTGCACAGTCTGTTTCCTGTGTGCATGATGCAAAGTTGGGAGGGAGTACCTGTGTGCATAGTTCTTCTGATGGCTGAGATGACCTGAGCTTCTGTTCTGTTATTACTATAAATGTGTATATATACTGATAATACTTAGTCCTCTATGTCTTCAGAGATAGTATTTATGGATTCCTTACTATAGCAATGATAAAATAATCAAATTTTGTCTCCCTTCTTCTCCCTCTCCATCACCCTGGTTTTGTTTGTTTGTTTGTTTGTTTTGTTTTTGCAGGTTTTTTGTATTTTTTTTGGCTGGGGCTGGGTTTGAACCCACCACCTCCAGCATATGGGGCTGGCGCCCTTCTCCTTTGAGCCATAGGCACTGCCCCCCATCACCCTGTTTTAAACAATATTATCTTTTTTAACATTTACTTTAGTACTATTTGCTTACATCATAATTGGCTTATACTCCTATTATGTGATATATTAATTTTACTCTATTTATTTTCTAATATGGCAATCAGTGCCCTTACTCTATATCTCACTATCTTCCCTCCTCATTCACCTAATTTTTGTCAGTTTT